TCAGACATCCCAGAACAGCTAACAAAGCAAGCACAAACCACACTACCATGTACCATACTTCCTAATATCCACCCGACAAAAGCTGAATGCCCTGAATTTCCAATAAATGAGCTGAAAGGTTGCAGTAGGGAGGGACAGATGGGGCCCTATCACACATGATCAGGGCAAAGGACTACTCTCAGACAAGGGCTCTATCCAACCTGGGAGAAGCTGTAAGCTTACTCACATATGGCACTATGAAATCAGACATTTTGGCAAATCACAGGAACCCAGAACAAGGCAAGATGGAAAACAAACACCCTTTACAAGCTGAGTTGCATGGCTCCTGAGACTGGCCAGAAGGATGTAATGAGCAGCACATATTTAATTTTACTGTTTCTGACAATGTATCTAGGTTAAACAAGCGCACAATTACATGGGCTGAAATGTTCTATAGGAGAAATACGCATTTCACTGACAATCATTAAATGATTTTAGAAACTCTGACATGATGGTTCATGGAAAATATATGGCTAGATGTTCTCAGGCTGTTTTTTAAAATTTGCTGTATTTTGAGTTATTTTGAGCCTACGTAGAATTCAAGCAGCACACCCAATTCTCTTCACCTACATACATGCCTCCCTTTAATGAACTTCACTCAGCTGCTGCTCTGTATCACTGTGAGCCTCCTCTGTCACATCACAATCACTTTAATGAGAAAGCAATAGCTCTAGGACTGCACCTCTGACAAACAGATCCTTAACGTATTTTTCACTCTTTTGTTCAAGACAATGAAAGAACAGAAGGAATTCATAGGGTATGAAACCTGAAAAACTCAAGTGTAGCACATATGGTGGTCATCTGAAAGACACGGTCGTTCATAGGAAGAAAAATAAGATAAAATAAAAGCCATCCTAAAATACAAAAGGGCAAGATTCATTATGTGGTTACGTAAGACAGCAGTGCCACAACACCATTTAAGTCATTTTGCAGCAGCATGGCACTGGTGTAAGGAGGGATGAATCAAACCCTGTGTTTTCATTTTAAATGGATGCTCAAGCATCAAACAGCAGGAAGAGCTACAGCTTCAAACAGCTCCTGACAAAGTCTCTCCAAATAAAATTGTGAAGGTGGGTTCAGCTTGGGAGATGCAGACACACAACTCCCATTGACTTTGGTAGGAAACTGGCTACAGAAGAAAAACATTTCAAATGTGGTGTTTTTCTGTGATACGAAGATGCATTTTCCAGCCGGTGTGGAGAGGAGGCACACCTGGCTCAGAGGAGGGCGAGCAGGGGCAGCACGGCAGGCTGCGGGGAGGACCAAGGTTGCTTCCCTTCCCTGCAATCCAGGACTTTTAATGTGCTTCTATAACAAATGTAGATAATTTTATATTTATTTTAGCATAATATCTTTTTCTTTGCTTAGCTGAGTTGTTGCCTTGTCCCTGAGGAGCTTTTATGATTACATTAAAGATCTTATTTTTGTTCTAACTGACAGATGCCGCAAACTATCTATAAAGTCTGGCAGTAGACTACAGATATCTGCTCTCTACAGATTTATTATACATCACTGATCCCCCTCATGGAGCAAATGCACCTTATTCTCGAGTACAACCACTGGATCAGAAGCAGACGACACGGCAGATTACCTCTGAGGTCAGATACCTGAATCCCCATCCCGGCAGACTGCTAGGGAGGAAGAGGCAAGGCCAAAGCCAGAGATCAACAAATTAGCAAACTGGATCAGCAGATGTTCTCTGTCTGCCAACAACTGTAATGGATTGTGGCTAGAACATGTTTCCTACCTATGCAGGACACTCAGAAGAATCAACTAAGTCAATTTTGTTGCTGCATGGCCCAAACCTAAAAAATATACCACAAGAACAAAACACAAGAATTCATCACAGTCACTAAAATGAAAAGGAACTGCGATTTAGTATTGTAATTTAGTGCAAGATACAGGGAAATGGGACACTTGATGTGTTACCCCTAATGTGCTTTCCTATGCAAGTGTGGGAAAGCACTTAGCTGAGCTTCTATTTATCCTCCTGCAAGCCAGATGTCTTATTTACCTATTCACCAGTGGGGTAATTGCTGTGGACTTAATGGTCTCTTTATCAGGCGCAGTGTTTTGGAAGTGTTTCAGGCTAAAAGGCACTATCAGGTGCAAGTCACAGACAGTAGCACGGGGTGAGGAACAGGGATGGCACGTTACCAGGGTGTTTTTCAAACCGTTTACCAAATGAATCTATAACCTTCGGCAACGCAATCTGAAGGCAACAGTTCTGCATGGACACAAGCATGACCAAAGCGCTAGAGTCACAATAAAACCAAAAGCAAGTGATCATGACATAGACCACAACATTTTCTCCCCCTATTACATTGCATCATCAATGCTAATTTCATTTCTCTCTGGACGTGGTGCAACTATCTGTTACAGTTATCTACAATTTAAAGTACATTTCTATTTTTCCCTATATTCTTGCTTCAGGAATTCGACAAGTGTTTTGTGGGGCTTTTGCTCCTGATCAATCTCATGTTGCCATCTGTCTGCTCCTAACAAATCCCATTCATGAACACATCCCTGTAAGGGCTTGGAAACCCTCAGGATGTGTAGATGGATGCCATTTACTTGAGCTGATCTGTTCCTCAGGCTCCCTGTTGGCATCCTGTGAACAGGTGAGTGTTCAGCTGGTATCAATCAGCTGAGCTCTCTTGGGACTCATTTACACCAACCAAGAATCCAGCCCATAATACAGAGCTAATTTCCCATACATCGGACTGTTGGACTGTATCCCTTGCTGAAAGGACCATTATCAGTAAAAGAAGTGCCAGAAACACTTAAAAAATCGTGCTGGAACTGCAATTCTGGCAATCTTTTTTGCATAGCAGGTAAAGATGCTCCTCATCAGCCCCTGTCCGTTCCCTGGGCGCATTCACAGAGACATGAGCTAGGTTTTGCCCACCAAGACAGTTTTTTGCAATTATTGTAAAGGACAAAACAACAAAACCAGAAGGCACCAGGTAATAAACCCCAGATTATTGAGAACTTGGGTAGAAACTTTCTTTGGAAAAGTAGATCGACATCAAATGGGCACCTGTCTTTGTGAAGAGTATTTAAAAATATTAATCTGGGACACAACAACATGACAAAAGTCTGTTTAAGGTCTTGCCAAGCCCATCAGGTTCAAGAAGAGTAAAAGAATAAATGCAAGAAAATATAGCTGCCTAATAAAGGAACAAAAATGACCATTGTTACTAAGGGGAAAATAGAGGGATGTCAACAGTTAAACTGTTAAATTCACAGATACTAAAGGATTCAAGGAAGACACTATTCATGGTAACATACGAGACCACATGAAGAAATATCCCTAATCAATGCAAATACTGAAAATTACAACCAAAGTGAAGCCCTGAGCTCTGCCTAAGATACCTAGATACCCATCAAACTAAAAGCTAAATTTCATCTAAGTAAGGGTTATATTCTGCCCTTCCTCCTCACATCAAGGGATACTAGAAGCGATACTTCATTCTCTCAGGGGTCCCTCTGCCTGCAGGCTTAAGTCTCACAATGAGAAGTTACTGCTCCATTGTAGGTTAACAGCAGCAGAATCTGTCCCCATCCCATTTTCTGCATCTTTGCAAAAATATATCTGATTGTTCCAGAATGTATGCAATGAAAGAACTGACCTACTCAAACCAAGCACGCTTGCTGTGTGTGGTGATGGAATTTCGCTTTATGTACAAACCTCTCTATCCCACCCTGAGACGTGACACGAGGTAACGCTTCCCGAGGCAGAACTGAGCCCACAGAAGCTGGGACGGTGCAGAGCGCTCTCAGCAAGTGGGCAGCCAGAAAGAAGTGCAGCTGAGGATGCTAATGTAAATGAAAAATGCACGGTGCAGTCAAAGGTACATTTGCAGTGCAAATGTAAATGACACTGTGTGACTACACGGGATTAAGAGGACTTTGCACGATCTGGCTGTGTGGCTACAGCCCTGCAAACAGATTTGTGGATTAACCACACTAAGCAAATAGCCAGAGTAAAAAGAAAAGCAGAGCTCGATGCTGTTCAGTGAAATTCTACTTTGTCCCACAATATAACCAGTTCTAATTTGCTTTTGCTCTGGCAGATACAAGGGGAAAAATATGCAAAGCTGCCCCTTGTCCCAGCTGTCAGGATTGCAAAACAAATGAGAGATTTGAATAAGTTTACTTAATTGTTATCAGTATTAAAGGCACCTTAAGGGAATCATTCATAGAAGAGAATAATTTGTTGTAGATAATAAATTATGTTTTCCTCTGTTTTCCTCCTTGGGAAAAATCTATTAAGACTTTATAATTAAAACTCCTGGACATAGTTCAGCTAAATGTTTTTAATTGAAAAATGGTCTATTTTTAAAAATATCCTTTTTTCTTTTTTTCATAAAAACACTGTTTGCTCTCTCGAGAAATGTCACTGAAAATTATTAACTGACATTCTTCATCAAACATTTCTTTACTCACTCAGCAACCTGAAGCCATAAGATTTTGGCACCTAATTCCATTGCTATTTGAAAATCCTGGCTAAACAAAAAAAAAATTTACTTTCTCTAATCCCTTTTAATAACAGTAATAGAGATTATATGGGAAGACATAAAATGTGTTCAGGCATGCATGGTGATTCACAAAGTTGTCCTTTTCCCTCCGTGCCCCGCAGCGATTTGTCCAATCAGTCCACAATGACCAAGAGAGAGCATCCTTTCTATTTGGGGTTTTGGTTGTGGAGGTTTTCTTTATTTCACACTTTGGGATCATTAGTTTACATCAAAGGCACTGCAGTTTGATTCTGTACATCCATATGTATTCATAATGGAAATAGAGTCATAAGCTAAAACCAGCCTATCACCACTATACTGAATTTGCTGTCAAATCTCATGTCTACAGGTTATAAGCGGATTCCTTAGAACAGTAAATTAATAATTTACTAAGTTCTTACCATAATTTCAGTGAGAACAAAATCTAAAATGTTTACTTACTGATGTATATAGGTATCCTTCACTGTTCATTGCCAGATACAATTTTGTTTGAACCCCCTGAATCGCCACCACTCGTAAACCCACAGGAATGAGGTTAAACAAAGCTAGGAGAGAAAGGAGATGGAGAGCAAAATTAATCCTTCAGCATATGCAGATCAGATAGAGAAATAAATCATAATTACCAGAACCAAATAAAAAATGCTCATTCATGCACATATTAATTTCTGGGAGTGCTATAGAACAATATTGCTACTATTGTGTTCTTCTATAGCAATTTCCACGAACAGCTCAGAAATTATCTACAGCAGGTACCAATGTATCTCCCCTGTTCTGAAGATGGTGAATTGGAGGTACAGAGAGCTAAAAGGACTTACCTGCCTCATGAGCAGAAGCCAGGGTCTGCTGAGTAGAGTTGAACATAACTTAATTTGGTTTGTTTTTTTTTTTTTTTTCCTGACAGTAAGCACCAGAAAAAAAAAAGATAAACGAAAAAAAAACCCAAATTTTTTCAAGATCATCAAAACTTTTTTTTTTTTGCAAATTCAGATCAAATTCAGCAAACATTTTTGACCAAAAGGAAGGAGCAAGATGAAATTCAGAAAAGCTAAAAACCTTCATTAACATCTCAAAATGTTTCCACTCAAAACTCATTTTTTTTTTTCTATTTTTGAGAGGAGAATGGGTTTGAAAAAACAGAGCTAAATAACTTCAAAATGAAATGAAATGACAGCATATTCTTTAGATCAAGCCCTAAATCTGTGCTTTCAAAATTGAGCTGCTTTGAATGTTCCGCTTGTGTTTATGCTTCTATACATGCTAATAGTGGCAGTATTTATAAGCAGGGAAACGTCTCTTCAAAAATGAAGATTCCGGTTTGTAAAGCGGTAAATTAAAAAAAAAAAAAAAAAAGCTCTGCTATAGCTTAGATTCATGGATACGTTACAATCGAACACAAGTAATAATGAGTTGAATACAGTACCCTGTGTTCAATACATAGAATTAAAAATAAAGGGCATTTAAGAAAATTTTCAAGAACCGTTATCATAACCCAAAGCATCTCTTTCCAGTCTGTTGTATAAATGCACAGATAGCATGAAGTAATGCCAAACTGGCTCTTATTTCCAATGGTTTATTACTAGGCTGGAAAACTCTGTTCTGCTTCAGGCTGAAGTTTGGTATTTATGGTCACTGTCTAAAGCCAATTTAAAACTCAATTATGTATTTGAAATATTTTTATTATTTTCAAAAGTATAAGCTAAGAATTATGACCCATTATAAATTCCTTTTTCAGCCTGACAACCCCCAAATAATCATATTTAATTAAAAGAAAATTTGTAGCTTGCCAGCATTTAATACAGATCCTAAATTCTGCGTGTGGGGTTGTCAAGAGTGCATCAAAGTAAAGAGCAAACGTATGCACGTCCTACTTCAATGAAGGCATGGCCAGAAGTTAACACCATGCGCTGGGGACGAAGGACTAAATTCTGGTGAAAACAGACTCCGTTCCAGCACGTAGCTGGATCTCCAGCTCCATGTGCTGGCCTGGGTTAACCTGAGCATCCCAGTCCCATGGCTCGGTGAAGAGGGGTTGCAACAGGCTCTGGGGGGGCCGGTGGCCGAGGGACATGCTCAGGGCTGGGTTGAGCCTGCCCGCCTGCGCTGGCACACCATGAACTACGGGTGCTCTGCTCTGAGGCTGGGGCACCTTTCAGCATTGGATTTCCAACAATGGTCAAATATAGCAGGGCAGGTGGAAATATCCAGAACTAATAAATAGATGTAGGAGATCATAGTCATACTTATGTTTTTCTTTCCCTCTCACACACACGAGTGTACATGCAGACAGACACACACACACGCACGTAGCCCGTCCTCACGCTCGCCTCAAGCACAAAATCAACAGAAATGGTTTTCTCTTCACTAAACCAAAATCCTCTAGTTCTGTGCAGTTTTTGGCAAACAAAACTGAGATTTTCAGTAAGGGAAATGGTTTTCTCATTCGTTCTATCAAATGCTTAAATTTCTTTGGGGGAGAAAATACTCCCTGAGTCAGTAAATAGTCCCTTGGAGAGCCCTCTTTTGCAGTTCAACCCTAAAAAGCAGCATCCGACCTCCATGTAGGCAGGAAAGCACAATTTAAAGCTCGGTATCCAGGCAGAACATGGTGGTCTCTTTTGAAAGGTGCTTTCTTAATGGCATATTTGCAAGCAGGGCAAGTGTTTGGGTGTGTTCAGCACAAGGGTACGAGTATGGGCTCCACTGTAAGTAGTGCTATGAACCTGTCAGTAGACCAGCTGAGGACAAGGCAAAGCCTGGGACAGTTGAGAAGATACAGCTCACAGCCACATGCCACAGAGACAGGTTTTCGTGAGCGATTCCCAGCTGTGCTGTGCTTGGCCAGGTGATCAGAGATAAGATGCTGAGGGAGGGCTGAGGCACCCACTGCGATCGGTGTTCAGCTGCTTCCCTCAGCAGCCGAACACATTTTCCTGCTGTAAATATACATGCTCTATTTTGAGGCAAGATGAGGGTTGGGCACACTCAGAAGCTGGTTTAGATATCGGTGGGATTAGCAGCTGCTGTGGCACAGACTATCGGAAGCTGCAAAAGGGCTGTGGGGGAGTAATGTTGGCTCTGCTGCTGACAGCCCCTGCCGAAACGGAGAGGGACCCGGCTGTTGGAAGGGTGCGCGGTCAAGCTGTCCTATGCCAGCACAGCCAGACACATGGGCAGGCTGCCCCAGCTGCCACCTCCAAGGTGAGGGGACATTGGCACTGCACTACAAAAGGGGACTGTCCGCTCCCACTGTCCTTGCACAGCAGCAAGGCCAAGTCTGGCTTCTGTAACAGAGTGGAGCAAATGCTGATGGGGCCAACAGCAGAGGCATGCAGCCACCTTCTCTGCAAGCCCCCAACGTCATGGACAACAGGTTTGAGATGCTATTGCATTTCTAGGTGTTGACCCTCATGTGGGCAGATATGACAGAAAGGGTGGCAAAAAAGCCACAGGAAAATAAATTGCTGGCTACTATGATCAGTTTGCGTTAATATAAAATAATGCAAAGTTATTTGCATCCTAGCCTTTCCCTATTACATTTGTGCTGTTTAAAATAAGGATATAATATCCATCGTAATGAAAAACTTGGCGATGCTTAAGGGAGAGATGATCTTTGCTGTGGCCCTTGTGCAATAAAAGCTAACAGAGAATTAGAGCTGCAAAATAAGAGGCAGCAGGCCACAGCTGGATTTATGAAGGTATACATTACTGTGAGGTTTGTGCCATCTTTGGCTTGGTCACCTGGACCTTTGTGCGCTTTCTGCAGGATATCGTTTCCTATATTGCCTTATTTTATCAGTCTTGAAATCTCTTTGTCTTGCCAAAATTGGGAAAAAAATTCTGCCTTAAAACCCTGCCCTATTCAATACATTTAATGAGGCAAAAAATCCTGTTTCTCAGCAAGAAATCCTTTCCATGAGGCACTTCCTCAAATCACATGGACTCTTGGCTAAAAGAGAGGCCTGCCGAGTATTATGGCTCCTCAAATCCATGTTTCACTTCCTGTCTAAATTTTGCTTCAAAATCTCAGCTTTCTTTTAAACTCCCTGCAATTGTGGATGCAATCTTGTTTTCGTGTACCCTGCATGCAGTAGTGGCTCTGCAGAGCTTGAAATAATTGCTCCCAAGTCAGGAGCCCAAGGGGATCTTCAGGCAAACTTCCCACCCAGCTCAAGGTAGCAAACGATGGAGAAGGTGGACTCCTGGCCCCGGGCTGCTGTCAAGAGCACAAAGCAGCAGCTGGCTATTGGGGCTGCAAGCTCTCCCCATCCCTACCATAAACAGGGAAGAATAATCCTGAAATTTAAAGAAGGCTGACCAATGCTCTGCCTGGAGACCAGGTAGACTACGGCTACGGTTTGCTCTAAAAAACACAGTTGCAGAGTCCTAGCACTGTGCAACCGCTTTGCTGGCTGAATTTGAGGATGTTCTCCTTATTGTTAAGGGGAGGTTTAATTATTGCACTGCACTGCAAAGCAAATGGTCTCACAGAAAACATTCAGTGAAGATTACAAAAGGGAACAGCAATGATAGCCCTCAGGTGCTGCAAAGGAGGAGAGAATGGACTGGAGAAGGAGTCCCCCCACATTTGGAGGGGGCTACAAGTCCTGTGGCTTCCCCATGGTGCACAAATATTGGCTAAATGAGAAACATCTCTGCATATATTGGAAGAAAAGATTTTAGAGGGCCTGATCCACTTAATACTCCTGTGAGCAAGGCTTTGGGGGAAGCCCCTTATGTGGACTCTGATCCACAGCATAAATCCGTCTGTCTTACTAGCTCCATTAAAAATATTGCAATTAAAATAAATTCAGGACTGCAGGACATTCAGGTCCATACACTTACCATATATAAAAGGAATATATACAAAAGCATGTGGTTTTTTATGATAAAACCCTCCTCTGTTCTGAACACTTAGATACCGGAGCCCAGCTGCAACTATTTCTGGGATACTTCCATTATATTTAAGTATTCAGCATTTTGGAAGGCTGGTATCCAGCAACATCGAGTTTTTATGATTTGCTTTGCAATCTATGAGGTTCTGGTAAATTTAAGGACACAGTGAAAACAAAGACATCTTAGAAACTGGCACACATTTGTATTTCCGTAAGTTTTATCTTGCTTCAAAACTCAGAATCCCCATTAGAGGGATTCCAAGCAAAGTATTTGAATGAAACAATGAAAAAAGACGCAATTTCAGGTATTTGTTCTGGTATGTTAAAAGTTTATAACAATATCATGGTTTGATGGAAAAAGCAAGGTTTGCCTAATTCTTCTTCTTTTTTAAGGTAATTAATAGAATTACCCTGAAATCTTCAACAACCTGTACTGGTTTTTAAAATCATAAATACCAGATCATTCACTTGAAAGAAAAGCAACGTTTAAGGTCCATCAGGATCATTCTAGAGTAAACTTTGTGGCTGCACTGAGGAGAACTCTAGAAGACGGCAGCAGCCTCTCGGCATTGCACTGATCTGATTTTTGTGCCGCCTTCTTGGCGGGCGAGGACAGGACACGGAGCCAGACCTCGGGTGTCCCTACGCCTCCTACGCTCGTGCTCTGCACCACGGCCAGCACCTTTGGCAGCTGCAGAGACCTCCTCCAGCAGCACAACCAGTTCTCTCCTGTCACTCAGAAGTTAACCTAGGGATGCAAAAAGGGTTAAAGAGGGTGTGGGAAAAGGTGTGGGAGCCAGTGGTCGGACAAGTAAGATGTGATACTTCTTGTTGCATCTAGTGCTTACTCGGCCATATTCAAGTGCCCTGTAAAATGAAACGATGTTTTACCTCCAAATGCTTTTCATATGAAAAGGATGGCACTTAAATCAGTGCTTTTTAATAATTAAAAAGGAAGGTCTGCCTGTTGATTTTATGGTTTGCTGCCTAAGTGGCCTGAAATACCTTCTCAAACTCCTTGCGCCTTTGAACTCCTTTTTCAGAACCAAAATGTAGTTTAAGCGAAATAGTACAACTATGTGAAACGCTTAAATATTTTACTTACACACACCAAATCTACAGTCTAGTCATCTTTTCCTGTTTTCTATTAATTCTAAAAGTGGTAAAAAAAACCAAACCAAAACATCCAAAGCTTTTTCATGGAAAAGCTGAGGGAAATCTGGTTGAAAGCTGAAGGTATAATTAAGTTTAGAAGGGGCAAAAAATAATAATAATAAGGAAATGTGAACTTTAAAATTATGATGAACTCTCATTGTGTGAAATAACATGGCTCTGTTTGAATGAGCCCCTGTTTAAGAGTGGAGATAGCATTATTCTATTTCAGGCCCTCTGAGTAGGCGAGCAAATTTTCCCTGTTGAAAAAAAAAAATCTAATAAAATCCAAAGGACAGCAATGAACTTCTCTGGATTACCATGGAGATAACATTTGCTTTGTTTGTCATATGTGTCATCATTACCTCCTCTAGTTCATTATTTCTATAAATTATTTTTATTCGCATTTCTCTTAAACCCAGTAAGTCTGAAAGACTTCTGCGCTGTGAGCACAGTGTTAATGCCACTTCCACTCACTCAGTCATCCCAGGACAACAATTCTGAACGGACCTATATGGGAAGAAGGAGACACCACAATTCACAAACACACCATTTATTCTTATGTCACTTACTATAACTACTGTCCTCCTCTTTTGTTCCATCAATTGTTCCATCTGCTTGCAACTGCAAGTGGTATCCTTGCCTGCTGTATAGCTTTGTTACTATACCTTTAAGCTGAGGCTCTGTAAAAAAACAATAGTGAGATTAATGTGGGAAATCCTGATGTGCCGTTTCAAGCGAGCAGGATGCTAAAAACAAATCTCCAGATTTCTTCTCAAGGCTGAGATATGAAAAAGACCCAAAACAAAAGCATGGCAACCAGCTTTGCAACACTTGCCATTTAGGTTGAGATCAAATTTATGTCTATGAAGTCAATTGCCAAAATGATTAAATGCCACTTTTGATTGCAATATGGGTAGCACAGCAAAATCTACTTCCAGTGAATACAAATTCTGACACTGTGGTGCTTGGCTTCATGAGCTCAGCCCTATCTCATTTAAGATTAGAAATGAGCTGGCAAAGAACATATTCTGCCTTTTAAAAAGGTGTGAGTTCTTAAATGGAGAGGAAAAAGAGGACTACTACGATAGCAGGAATAAGAGCCATAGTGACAGTTGAGAGCTTAAATATACAGCAGCCAACATTTAGCGCAGGAACTGCTGCAGCTCTAATAAACAAACCCCCATTTCTTACTGCTCCAAAGAGTACAGAGCATCCGAAGTGATAAACTACTCAATGAACATATGGAAAATGGAGGGGGGGAACCCTGAAATCCAGCAATGTGTGGAACTGCAAAATAAATATTACCATAAGGGTTGAGGTAATTACCTCATCAGGTAGAAGAAGAAAGATCAAAACAACGCATAGTTTGGATAGATTTCTTTTTTTCATAACCATCCTCAGATTCGCAGTTAGAAAGCGAGATATCTCACACAGTTTCAGATCATTCTAAACCAAGAAAGTATACAGCAACAGGATCTGCTGTCAAGTCTGTCATTTAAGATATCCAGGTAATGCACCAGGAGTAATTGCAGAAAAGGTCTACTTCCACTGAATCCCAATGACATCTGCATTGTAGTCATTTCACACAATTATGCTTGTCAGGAGGTGATGCAGCTCCGCAACTCGCTCCACAACATCTTACTTAATTCAGAGATAAACGTACTGTGAAGATGTGATGTGTTATTTCCAACAGCCAATGTCTGGTTAAGACTCCTTGTGTTCTTAGTCAAAGAGATTAGGGAGCTCTGCTACTGTACTTCAGTTTAGTAGGAGCTGAAGGCAAAAGCTTACAACAGTTTGCCTAAGTGTATTAGTTCCTATTAGCAGCCTTTAAACAAGGGTACCAACGGATGCATGATTCTTATTTACCAACTTTTCTAACAAGAAATTAATCCAGCCCTCACTTTGGCTTTTGAGCCATAATACATCCCAAAGCTGTTTGCACATTGTGAGCGAGGCACCTCTTCTGTGGCTGCTGAGAAAGACAGGTTAAGTGGTTAACGGCATCAATGTTTCAGCGCAGCAAAGCGATAGTGACATTACCAGAGGGTTTTGCTCCTCCCACATACATAAAAACCACTCAGATTAGGGACTGAGTCTTCATGCCTGATCTTTTGCACCTCTGACACAGAGGGCATCGCCTCTGCAGGGCAGCTGCCTGTATAAGATTCCTAGAAAGGAACAGGGTGCTGAAGCAAAACTCTGGAAGGTGCCAGTGACAGCAAAAAACCTTATCTGCAATCAGCAAATAAAGCACGACACAGGGATTCTGCAAAGCAGGAAGACAAAAGCAGATCTCTAGACCGCTAAGTTATTTAACATACAACTGAAGGAGGTGTACGTGTGGGAACTTCCCCTGCTAACATCTCCCCCACAAATAAATCACGCGTCTTTGTATATGTGTACGTGTAACAGAGAGACAGACTACTGAATTACCGGTACACGGGTGCACATGGGTGTGTGAGTGAGGCAGACAGCAATGGTTTGTTGTATCCAGATAAACCAGATGAACATGAAAGGGGAAGGGACTGGTATGGGGTACCCATGTCTATCAGATCATATAAGCCAGGAGTGGCAATACCTGCACGTTCATTTTACCAGCCCTGAGACGCCAGTCCCCCTTTCCCCACTCTTGATGCACATCCCAGTTTGCATTAAATTAAACAAACCAACCCCCCAAAGACATAACCCTTGCCAACCTGGTCGCCTTCTTCGCCTTTTCTTGGAGCCAAAGAGTTTGACCCTGGAAAACACATTCAACTTGTTCTTGTCGCAGCTTCCCTTGCTCTTGCTGGGGCTGTTGACACACTTACAGGCATTGGACTTCTCCCGCTCCCTGGCTTGTCTCTTCTGGCGGATCAGGGAGCTGGCGATGGCTGCAGCCATGCGCCCCGGCACCACCGGTGGGTCAGGCACACGGGCTTTGCTCGCTGGCCGCGGGCACCGCAGCCAGCATGCTGCTCGGCCCGTCCCCAATGCCGGGGACGCTGCCGGGCGCCTTGACCAACGCCACCCACCGCCAACCGGCTTGGGA